GTTGAGACAACTGTCGAGCCTTTGGTCGTGACAGCCGTCGAGACAACTGTCGAGCCTTGGGTCGAGACTACTGCTGAGCCTTCCGTTGAGACAACTGTCGAGCCTTGGGTCGAGACTACTGCTGAGCCTTCCGTCGAGACAACTGTCGAGCCTTGGGTCGAGACTACTGATGAGCCTTCCGTTGAGACAACTGTCGAGCCTTGGGTCGAGACTACTGCTGAGCCTTCCGTTGAGACAACTGTCGAGCCTTTGGTCGTGACTGCCGTCGAGACAACTGTCGAGACTACTGCTGAGCCTTCCGTTGAGACCACTGTCGAGCATTGGGTCGAGACTACTGCTGAGCCACCAAGCGAGACTACTGCCCAGCTTCCCGTCGAGATTACCACCGATTTGCCTATTGTAACTAGTTATTATCCTGTAATCGAGCCTGTAGTAGAAACCACCCCTAATCTTCGGCGGTAACGTTGTATTCACTGCGAGTCATGACTATCACTGCCCACTTTACAGGATAGAGTAGCTATCACCAGTTTGAATTCTTTCCAAGTCATTGAATAGCGAAAATTAATCACCGACAATATGGCGAGAATAACTCTGCATGCCCATTTCAATTCTATACTCATGTCTCCAGTAGCTGTTCGCGAGTAAGTAGTTTCTAACGGTTGCAGATCCTGTAGCGTCGGGTTTTATCGGTCTCTGGAGGATTCATCAAGTTTCCTCCTGTGTAGTCGTGCTGTCCTCAGTGTGTGTGAACTAACATGCAGCATCTTCACTTCTTGATCCTACACGTGTTTTTTGTAGCCAATGGTCAGCCCAACGACTGTTCCATTGCCTGTGGCAATACTGAGTCCTGCGTCAATGACCCACAGTACCATGGTTCATACTACAAGTCTTGGCTAACTCCATCGGTTTGCTTTGGTTTATATCCTAGAGAAGATGGTTCGACATGTTTTCAACCGAACGATCTGAGTTGCAATGAGGATGTATTGAAGCCCTTGCGATGTGAGTATAGTAGTCTCACAGAGAATCCTATGGCATAAGGAGATAGTCTTGATCTGACGGAACAAACCCGCGAAGAAGGTGAAGGTGCCTCATCGTCTGAGATGATCACTTAGTGGTCACCACTATTGCGACTTCCAGCTCGAACCATCACTGAACTCCCAACTGACATTACTGCTGACCATAAGTCGTGTCCACTGCTCAACTACTGGTCAGACCACTGCCGAGGCTTCGGTAGAGACCGGTGCTGAGGCTTCGGTAGGGACCACTGCTGAGCCTTCGGTAGTGACCGCTGCTGAGTCTCCGGTCGAGATCACTACCGACACTAGTGAGGGATGCGTATCACCATGGCTTCAGCGTGCTCTGACCGAAATCTCCTTTGCACACGAATGATATTGCCAAAACAATGCCACGTATGAAGGCAGTCATTGTACCCGCCCCGCAACGACAATCGGAACAAGTGCAGAATTTCCTCCAATCCTAAGGAAACATAAACTCTCCCATTTACAGCAAGTGCATTCTGACTCTCAAAACTCTCAGAGAACGCGTGCCAGTAATACTACGACGACAACTTACAATTTCCCAATTTACAATGGACGACTTAACGCGACAATGAATAAAGATGAGGTGTATTGGTCGAAACAAACTTAAAAGTATCATTGTTGTGCTTGCTGAGTAGCGAGGCTCTGATTGAACCATTTTTTCCCGTATTGTACGACAGTACTTATCACTGGGAGGGACGTTAGGGTTCTGAAGCATATGGACGTTGAGCGCGAGCAATATGATCACTATCCTCACCGTGTTTTCGAATCCACGATGCCCCACGCCTCGTGATGATGAGCCGAAGACCTTGGTGCCTGGTACCTAAACCGCCGAGTAGTTCGATAACGAGAAGATTAAGTTTGAACTACCTTATCCGCAGTAGACTCCAGAAGAGGAAACATGACATGATCTCTCGGTAGGGGGTGAACAAATTGATGATGTACTGGAAACCGATGCCTGCACTCACCACGGTTCAAGAGTCAACGAGCGTTGAGCGATAGTACCAAGTTCGCATATGGTAGACACCCGCATTATCTCTGTTTCTTTAGACTTGAGCTTGAGCCAAAAAGGTTGGATTTTGGCCCAAACAGGAGCATCTGAAGCCGTATACACCACATGAGAAAGAACGGTATACGGGGGCTCACTGGTAAGGTGCGAGTTAGCAAAAGTACCGCAGTACCAGAGGGAACGACGTACAATGACGAACAACCCAAATATATTCGGCATGAAGCTTCCTGTCGCCAGTAACACTGAACAGATAATGATTGAACTCAGAAAGCCGCGGAGCTCGCCTCGAATCATGGAGGGGCAGCAGGACTCAAAAACAAATACGACCACAAAGCCACCAAACTTGATACGAGTTTGATGGAGATGGCAATGCCATCATGGCACCGATCCGACGAGAGCTTCCACTTCGACAATATGGGTTATATGAAAGCATAATAGGACCATACCCCAATTACAACTCATAAAAAGGAACGGGAAGTCTGCACCCAAGGTGACTCGACTCATCCACATCTGGAAGGCTTGCATACCACTCCGAACCTACAGTGGGGACATCCGATCTAGCTGATGCCACGAGGCACATCTATAGCGGCAATCAGACTCCTCCCATGGCGGTTACCGGAGGAAGACCATAGTTAGTCCAGATAGTGTAGATGCAGACGAAAGCACTGCCCATGAAGGTCATTCGGTAGAATACCATCGATGGTATATGAGCCACGTATGCCTATCACAAAGAGTCAATTGGCGGAGACGAATTGGGTTACACTACCACAAGGGGGATGATATAGAGGACAGCATTTACCAGTACCAGCAAGTGCAAGGAGAAGGCCACGGCAGCTGGGCTGGCAGCCATTGACTGCCCTGTCGCCCCTCCTGAACCAATGTGCATGCCTTGACTTGGACTGTCCCTGCCAGCACTACCTTGAGGTTGCTTCTTGAGTCGGTTATATGCTAGGTAGCCGAGAAGAGGGATGATCCACCACGGTATTGACATATTATCGATCTCGGAAGTCTAGTTACTGAAGTGTCCCAGATGTGGACTCCCGATAGGGACAGCGCTACTTGTATTCTCGCTCGCCTCTTATCTTGATATCTACTATCGCCTCCTACAAGTACAGTGCGAACGGCTTCCTTCGAGTCGAAACGGTTGCTGGATACTTCCCATTGATTTTTGATTAGGTTTGAGCTATTAAGGACTTTGGATCTAAGGACTCAGGACCTGAGTCTCAGGTAGAACCTTTGCGTTTAAGTGATTCATAGGGACCGATGTAACCTGTCCGATGTAGCCCGTCCGGGTCCGATGTCATCCACTAATCCACTAATCATCATGCATACACTTTCATTATACTTTCATTATACTTTCATATACATTGTCATCCACATACACTGCACGTTCTTAGCTTTAGTGTACGACTCGACTCTACTGGATAGAATACAGAGTCTGCATTGCAGACACTGTCCATACACACAGGTGTTCCTCTCGTCAAAGTTCGAGGTGTTTCCTTGGGTCATGTTACTAAGGACAGGTGCCCGTACGTTTTGAGAACCGAAACTGGTCAAGCTTTTGTTGTACCCCCAGCTGACGTTAAGAGGATCTTGCCCGATCTTCGCAATCGTACCAACAATAGTTTTGTGAGGGTCGGTGCGGGTCCCGCACTGCGGGAGCTAAAATGGGGAAGTACATCTGATGTCGGTTGATTCATCCCAGACGTCATTGAGAGTGGAAATGAGCAGAAAGCTATGATATCTGAAGACAGTTCCATGAGTGAAGTAATTCCGGCTCATGGCTATGAGGGTGCGAGTGCTACCGAACGTTGGCTGCTCGTCAGGGCACTGCCGAGTCATCTACAGGTGCTACTCAGCGCACTACTAATACTGTAAAAGGTTTGCATAGTGATCTCAACCATAGTTCCACAAACGTCTCATGCTCCAATCAAGGGGTTCTATGAGGTAATCCCAAGATTGTACAACCCAGAGCTGACCCTTGGTTGGACGGAACGGTGGCTTGTGAATCTAGAAGCAAGGAGCAACGTAGGTTGGGTCACTATCATGACCTTGTCGCTGTCGGCATCAGGATGTCACTTCAGTGATGATGTAAGGTCGATAATGACAGATCATATCAGCGGGAAGACGATGAGCGTGGGTGAGTTGTTTAGGGAGTAGGTGGAAAAAGTAGCTGAACCGTCGGAGAACTGAAGCATGGTAGCAAAGAACGATGGATCAGGCTTGAGTTTTGTGAGTTCTTCTACGGCCCCCGCATTTACCACGCTACTCTGAGATGCCATTTGGACTCAAAAGGTAAAACTAGCTTTGGTAATGGAACGACAAAACCACTAAGACACTATCTAATCGAGAGTCTAGATGAACCGAGACAGCTTCAATGAACAACCTGCACGCATGCGCATACTCCTCATCGGAAAAAGGGGCAAAGCAGAATGGCCGCACAAACGGGCCTAACTCAGATATGAGAGGTGTACAATCACCAATGATGGAAAGGTGAGGAGATCAAGCGCCATTTAATGCTGTGACACCCAAGGTGACTTCTGAGAGTTCGAGGTACCCCAGAGTAGGGTACCAAAGGAATCAACAAAGCTTTTCACGCACATAGATAGCGCTACTGACACATCACTGTGCGTGAGACAATGAACGGATGATATTGTTCCCTATATTCCTGCATCGTCCGTCCCATCAATCACAAATTCCTTGACAGATCGTTTCAGCCTTGTGCATGGTAAGTGCAAGTATTGGACGTGGTCCTAGTCGGAATGAGTTGTGTTGGTTAGAAGGTAGGGAGTTAGGCGTGTGCTTTATCAGCTTTGTTCTTCCCGGCATTCTCGAGTGGAGAATGTCTCTAACAGCCTCAACAGTATCTTACTCGCTCGAAGATCATGCCTTGATGCTCGATGATGCCGCTCGCTATGCGGTGGCCGTCGTATTAATGGTAGTTACAGGCGACACCCACCTAGCTGGACTGTCGTGATGCCGTCTCTTGTTAGATCGGTTTGGCTTTATGCCTCTTCGTAATCGATGAGTTTCGTGGTACCAGACCGGAGGCTTCGACGGCGTTCATGCCAGTTTTTTCTCCCGTTGAGAGCAACCCATGGTGAGCAGGAAACCGGGCATGAAATAGTAATGATGTGATTAGGGCTAAGCTGAATGACTATGAGTACTTCTCTGGCCTGTTCGGTCTTGGGAAGTGGGGTTTGTGGAAGTGGCCCACCAAGATGGTCCGCCGCAGCACTGCTAGGCTCGCCAAAAGTAGCAGACGAACTCAAGTTGATGGGTTGTCAGGGTTATGGGTTAGGGCTGCGTAAGGAGACAAATGACCACTCTTATCGTGAAACAGGCCTCCCATGGGCACCCGTTGTCCATGCTTACATCAGCTGTATGGTCCTTTTT